TTTCTCTCCTCTTAGGTTGCATGTCTGGAGTAAGAGTCCTACTCTTTCTTTTTTTTAGGCCAGTAAGAGTCCTACTTGTGAATGTGAACGCCTTGAGGAGAGATGCCCAGGTCGAGCCGCCAGCGTGGAAACCATTGGAGCTCCTTTCCGAACAACCTTTATTGTTGAGGCTAAAACATTTCTTTCTTGTCAAGTAACAACCTTTATATTTATGGAACAAAAAGTACACATGTGTCGAGTATTTTTCTCTCAATAATATAGAATATTTTTTGTTATTAAACAGAACAATTTACTATTTATGGAACAAATCACATGTCTGAAACAGTTTTTTTTCCTCTAGAAGCTAGGGCATTTTTTCTCTTACCGAGTGGATTTTTTTTTTATTTTCACAATGAACATCCTCCTAGTGCATCCAACGGCCACAAAAGTGATAGGTGCACAATCAAGGTCTAAGGCAACTTTAGACTGACAATTTTATTTTAGATTTGCAGCCTCACTTTTAATATTCAAATTTTCTAGTTTCTGAAGTTTAATTTTAATCTCTGAGAAAAATTCCAACGGTCCTCATAATTTATAATATAATTCCTCTTATATTCTCTCTAACCAACAATCTAGTATTCTAGGGCCACTGGCTTGAGAGCCAGCACTAAACACAACCGGTTCCTCTGACTTAGTTAGAGGGACTATAACAGGCTCACATGACTAAGTTTCTCTAACTTACTTTAGAGGAGACTCATACACTAACACGACACAGAGACACCGTCGCCTGCCAGTGAGGCTCATGGGGTGAGAGATAGAATTTGATTCCATAGATCCCAGTGTTATGTTTCTGCTCTACATCTTATAGCACGCTCTTCGACTCGCTCTAATACAATATAAATGTAGCATAAAAGTATCTCTTGTGGCAGAACATCCTAAGAAATCGGGCCCACGTGCACCTATTGATGTCTCAACAGACTTCAGATAGCGTACACAAGTTCCCAACAACTTAACAGGTCTGTCGGGTGTCCTCGGGAAACCTGAATCATCCACGAATCTTTTCCAAACAGGATCCCAATCACAGACATTGCAGATTACAACAGTTTTCAATATACATACCAGAGATTATAAAACGGAAGACTTATGTTTTAATATTACAAACCAGTTGTTTCAAACTTACAAAACCAGAAGTGTCATACAACCATAGTAGCGGGATAATATTACATTAATATTATTTATTTCACACAAACTAGTGCCTTGTCCAAAGGCCATTCATCATTCCTCATTGTCATCGACTTCAAACACTGACATGCAGCAGGGACCAAAACAAGCCTGCTCATGCGACTCACCTGCAACAAGGGTTAACAAACCCTGAATACAAAAGACTGAGCCGACGAAAAAGGGGTGAAGGACTTTAGAGATACAGGTGTTGGGTCAAGGTAAGGATGTAGCAAGATTAAAAAATTCTTTGCCAAAAGCTTACTATTCTTGATTCTATTTTCAAGTTTTTACCCCTAAGTACTTTAGTTCATTATCTCCAACTAAGTGTTCATATCCCATATTCCAATCCTTCTCATTCCATTCTTTTTCTCATGTTTTAGTAATTCACCAGTCCTGCATAACTTCTGTAATGAATCGAGTCTCCATATCAGCGGAGCACCGGCAATTCGAATTGATTCAAGTCCTAGCTGGGGATTCCTTATCACACAACATATGTAGAACTTAATCTTGCATATATCAACCTCGCTACCGGATCCTCCCATACTAAGCCGTCTCCACGCCATCCGAGAGCACAGCACACCTCAAATCCGGCCACATTCAAGCCACGAGGGTACACGCTACTCCCGCCATCTCACCATTCCCAGTGCGTGGGCATTCGTCTTATTATCGGATTAGCCGAAGTAGGCTTACCGGAGTATGTGACCAGTACTACAAAGTGTCTCGTTCAGAAGATCCACAATGAGTGGCCTTTAAGCGACATAATCGGCAACATTACCCAACATTCAAGATAAGTCACCCGACTAGTCTCTAGTTCATTCTATCTTCTTTCTTTCTTTGACCAGGATGCCATCTTTGATTGTATCGAAACTTTTACTTTGAAAGCCTACCATAAAGCATACTAAGCAATTCTACGCCTTTGTAAATGAAATCATCTTCAAGGATGGTAAACAATTAACAAGGTAGGCAATGCATCAAGTAGGTAACATTTGAATTAATCAACTTAATGCAATAAGTAACATAGGTGATAAACTTTTCAAAGTAAGCAAGGTAATGGTTTAATGCATAAACCGGGGCTTGCCTTCGTTGACGATCTCGGGTTCCGGATCAGTACCACAAATATCAAATCCCGAGACAACCGGGGATTCTTCCATAACTTGCTCAACTAGAATCGGTTTACTCTCGGATTCTCCATGAAATAATAACATATGCTTCAACATGATGATAATGTAAACATGATGCTTTCATGGTGCATGAAATATAACAACACCTTGAATACAACTTTCCTTCACGGTATAGTTGCAAGTCAACAAAACTAATCGACACTAACATCTAGGGTTTATGACCTAACTGACTTGACCAAATTGATCTTGAAACCCTACTGGTCACAAAACATGACCCAAACAAGACCAAACCCTAACCCTAACACTTAGGGTTTGCTTTTATTCATTTTTGAATTAATTTGGAAATAAGCCAAAAAATGAACTTGTTCCAAATGACCTCAAAATTTTATATAAGCTTCCTCATGACAAATTAGTGTACCAAAATAAATTTCATAATTTTTGGAGCTATACAGTGACCTACAAAAATTATGGAAATTACATTTATCAATTAATGGACTGAATTTTTGAACATTAAAAATTTATTCAAATTTCAAGTTTCAAATTTTTAAACCATAATAGAACATGTATAGAAGCTACACAAAATTTTTCAGAATTTTTAGAGCTATAATTATTTTTCTATAAATTTCCAAAGTTGCTGCACTATTCATATTTCAGAAAATAACAAATCTCACTATTCTCTCTCTCACTGACAGCCGGTCCCGCTCGTCAGTGACACAACACAGAGCATACGGCGGCGCTGCCATCATCGGTCGGCCAAAACGTGCCGGCGGTGATGCTCCGGCGAGGCAGACCGCACCTGCATGACCTACTCTTCCCCACGAACCTATCCCATCCTTCAGAAAGGCAGTAGGCGCACCGGAGAGAGCTCCACGTCGGCCATGGCGGCGCGGGCACGACGGCGCACGGCGTAACCACGGCTACAATGCAGTAGAGGCTAAAGCGAAGCGAGCATCACGCTTAGAGGCTCACCGCGAACACGTCGGTAGGCTCGGTGAAGGCGGAGACGGTCTGGAGCAGCCTAGCCACGGTGAGGTCGGTCGTGGCGAAGCTCTGGCCGGTCACGGGGAAGAACGCGTTGCGCCGGTCGATTCCGGCCAACCCAAGCGACGCGAGCAAGCCTACGAGGAGCCCTAGGTCACGGCGATCATGCTGGTTTAGCTAGGCACAATGGAAAGGGGTCGACGGCGGCTACGGCGAGCGGCGGAGTTGATCGGTGGCGGAGCAGAGCAGAGAGGAAACGGAGTACGACGGCGGCGGTGCTCCTATTTATAGACGGGAAGGATGCGTACGGTGTCGATAGCTCACGCACGAGCTCGCCACGGAGCCTGCTGCGTGTCACTGCGCGAGAAAGCGGCGAAAATCGATCGGCGGCGACAGCTGCGTGGCGCCGGCGGCAAGCAGGGAGGTGGCGCTCGGCTTGGTTTTGATTTTTGAAGTATTTACAGAATTGCCACTGCGTTTATTTTACAAATTACTCACAAATTTTCTAAAGAAGTTGAAAATCTCCAAAAATGAAAGTTGCTCAACTTTTCAAACTCTACAACTTTGTTTCAAGGAATATTTTCAAATTCTGCCTCCATTTTAAAATTTGAATTTGGGGTGCATTTGAGCATTTGAATCATTTCAAAATTACTCCAAATTTTATATGTAAACTTTAAAAACTTTGAATACCAAAGTTGATCCTTATAAAATAAGCTTCAACTTTGCTTTTTGTCACAACCCCAAATTCCAAATGGATTTTGAAATAGATAAAAGGGGCAAAAATGACTTTTATAATTGGAATTTGAATTCAAATTTGATTTGTTTACCTTTTGACTTAACTTTGATTTTTGACCAGTAACATGCCCCATTAGGGTTATTTGAGTCAATTAACACATGGTCTCACATGATCACATGAAATTTAACCCTTGTGGTCATGATCTTTATTTAAAGTTTTGAATCACATTACATCACATAAAATAACAACTTATGAAATAAAGCTTCTTTAGTGAATGCATTCAAAATTTTCTACTTTATGAATGTTTTGCAATGCATATGATGGCATGTCATGTTTTAATATTATGTTAAAACACCAGAGGTGTTACATCTCTGACTTATGACCAACAGTAATATACAAATATACTCTGCATGTAGCCATATTAACCTAATTAATCTATGTGTAAATGTGATTATTATAACGGATTTCAATTCCAAGAGTCCTAAATATAGTTCCCCTATATTCTCTCTAACCAACAATCTGGGATTCTAGCGCCCCACAATTATCACCGGCCGAGAACCAACACTAAACACTTCCACCAGTGACTGACATGTGGATCTAACAAACCTATCCACCAGTGTAGAGTCTCTAGCTTAAATTAGAGGAGATCCATCCACTAAACACGACACAGAGTCACCGGCGTCTGCCAGTGAGTCAGTGACTTAAGTACCCCAGTTAGATGAACCAATTTCACGACACAGTCCACACAAAGGCACAATTCGAGAAACGGACGCAAAACTCCACCATTTTAGTTACGAGTTACCATTCCAGTCCCAACACCGTCACACTAGTAGTAGGAGTACGTACAACAGTCGTTTAATTACCATAGCTAGCAGCTCACGGCCACATTCTTGCCACCACTACAGTCTACAGATGAGATGAGCTGCCGCCGTGCCGATGGACGATGAGCTTCACCGTCCTGATCAGAGAAGCCTGGGGCTGGTGTAGGGGCCGTTGAGGATGCTGTCGGCGATGGCGTGGTAGGCGGCCTCCGTCAGGTGCACTCCGTCCCAGTTGGAGTACGCCGACGGGTCCGTGCACACGCTGGAGCCCCGCACGCCGCAGCTCGCCTTTGGGTTGAAGTTGTACGGCCCGCCGCCGCCGCAGCACGTCCGCAGCGGCCCCTCCGTAAACCCTGCATCCATTTCCATCCACAGAGTAGTTTAGTTTCAGAACACCATGTTTAGCACGTCAGCAGGAGAATTGCTGAGCCAATCTGTTAGAAAGAGATAAGGACATTTACAGAAAAGAAAAAAGACCAACGAAAGGCGAACAAACAAAGAAAAGGCCAGAAAAAAAGAGGAAGGAGACGCTAGTAGTGATGTCGAGACTCGAGAGCACCAATCACCCAGCAGTTATCCACTAAACAGCTAACAGCCTACCAAGCTACCACAAAAGGGTCCACAACACAAGGCAACCAACTGACATCGAGTCATCAACCGAACCCAGACAATAGCCCATATTTCCTCGTTAAGTTGTAATGTGATTCCCAAAGGATCGCTTGTAACAAGTTGATGCCTTCCATGATAGGACGATGAAGGCCAGCTGCAGCTCCTGCATCGCCGTGTTTTGTAATGTTCTTTGATTTCTTTCCTTCCAAATATTCCACCAAAGGTATGTAATCACTCCGTCAAATCCCCATCTGTCCCCCCTTTGGATTTGGATTGTTGGAACCTCAGAACACAATAGCCAGCGTGAGGAGAACTGAATTTTTGAACCCAAAACTCCAGAAGATTAGAAGAACTACTATATCCACATAAAACTTGGGCTAATAAACTTTTGTTGCTACCATGTCGGCGTGTTTGGACATTGAATCTGAATTCTTAGGGCGTAACATGAATTGAGAAAAGAATTCAAAATTCTGCAGAACAGTCATCCTCATTCCATCCCAGTGGTCAATTGTCCATGACTAATCAGGTCGTTATATCCGCGCATATACAAGACCACCAAATAACTGAATTCTGGATGGAACTGTCATGTTAGGGAAGTTAGAGGTCCAAGTCTATAAACAGCTAGCAGTTACTCTCCAATTCTCCAAATTGACATTGAGATATCATTTTCATTTCCCCTATATATAGGACAGAACAGACCATGATAGTTCACCAAGCTGCTAACGAACTCATCAATATAGCTACAAGATTATTATCTTGTCAAGAAAAATGAGGCAGATTTCATTGGCTGACAGTGGCATCTACTAGTACTAGATAAGGGAACTTCAAATCAATTTACTGGTGTGTGCCAAATAAATGCTCATAAGAATAAGATGACCCAGCCCAAGATGGCAGTAGACTTCTGCAACCTCAACAACAACATTTCTGGATGTGCCCTAACAACCATTTGAATGTTAGTAAGGAGTAATATATACGGGCGGAAACTGAGAATCCGATGTCCAGATTTTACCTAGATGGAAGGATCACTACCTAGATCAATACAGTCTAAAAGAAATGGGTTTTAGCACTCCAGGGGAAAGATCACTCTCTCTTTTTTTTTTTATTGTGTGTGTTTGTGTGTGCAAGCTCGGCAGGTGCTCTGACCTTTCATTAAGCACAGCACAGAAAGCAGGGTTACCAATTACAGTAAAAGCGGCTCAATAGTCAAGATCCAATTTTTCAGTCTCACATCCATGTGTTAGCCACTGCAGTTAACTGCAGTCTGCAGATGACTGACCAAAAGGACCATATGCCTTTCGTTGTGGCAAAAGCAAGACATAGCTCCCTTTTCTCGAAAGGAGATGGCCGAACAGGTTACAGGTGACTTGGTTTTAGCTAGATCCCCAACCCTTTTATTTTCTGAAAGAGCCGTGCAATCTGAACTCCAATTGGATGGCAGATCGTGGTGGGACCATCTTTAGTCTAGCTTAGAGTAGTGACCATTCAGTGTCACTTTCAGTGTAGCCGATCAGTTATGCGATGAACACATTTGATGTCGAATTGGAAAAGCTCTCCCAGAATCAGTATCACGATATGAGGTGGTTGAACAATTGCACTCACCGAACTGCTTGGGGTTATTGGCGAAGGACATGGCGGCGCCGTAGTAGTCGGCGTACATGATCCTTGCCTGCGGGTACTTGGCCCGGAGCGCCCGCAGGTTCTGCTGGAGCACCGCGTTGTGGTGCTGCGCGAAGTCGTTGTACGCAAGGTTTTTAATTTCGGTATCGCCAAAATTTCGGCCACCACCGAAATTACCGAATTTCGCGAAATTCAACCGAAATTTCGTTGAAATTTTTTTAGAGATTAGCACATGAAGTATGTTTTTTCTAAAAAATTTTGGATCTAAACAAATATTAGTATGACTTATGACTACATATCTATTAAATAGAAGAATATGCAATATAAACAATAGAAAAATATAAGATTAGAGTTATATAGCACATGTATTAGTGTATTAAAAAATTTTGGAGTTTTCTTTCGGCCACCACCGAAATTACCGAATTTCGTGAAATTCGGCCGAAATTTCGCCGAAATTTTGAACCCTGGTTGTACGTCTTGAGGCAGCCGGCGGCGTCGTAGTCGCTGCTGTTCCGGCCCGGGTGCAGGGTCAGGTACGCCGACGAGCACCCAATGGGCAGGTTCCCAGGCACCACCAGGTGCGTGGCGCCGGCCTTGATCAGCCTCTGTTGTCGTGAGCAGAGTAGCGGCCCAAATTGTTTAGTGCGAAATGCAGAGAGAGATACAGTAAACAATGGGGAGCGAGATTCGGTGACCTGACCTCGGTGGCATCGGTGACCGCGGCGGCGACCGTGGGAACGTAGGTTTTGGCGTCGTCCAGGGTCTTGCCCTTGAAGAAGGCGTAGTTGTAGTCGTTTCCCCCAATCTCTCCGACGAGGAACAGGGACTTGCTGAAGTACTCCTTGCACTCTGTTGTCTCAATTCATTCAGAGCAGAAAAAAGACATCGCAATCAGCGCTGCACTTGAATCTTAATCATTGGAGAATCTCTTTTTTCTTAGGACACTCAAAATCCCAAATGCAAAATCGGATTTGAGTACTGAGAAGGCATGCAATGCGAAGGAACGGACTTTTGGGGGAGCTGCAGAGTGACGGCTTGAGCTGCTCGAACCAGCCGAGCTGGACGCTGAGGGAGAGGTTGGTCCAGAGCTTGTCGGACGCGCCGATCTCCTGGAAGAAGGGCGGATCCATGGCGGTGGCGCCGCCGACGGCGAAGTTGACGCCCCGGCGGAGGTCCTTGCCGCGGGACTGCAGGTACGGCTGCAGCAGCGGCAGGCCGAACGCTTGCGCTGCACGAGTGGGCGGCGCGCAACGAGGAAGTCGCGTCAGAAACGAAATGCACTACTGAAATGTATAATATAAAGAAGCAGTGGGCGGCGCGCGCGCACGACGCACGGGGACGCACCTAGGAAGTCGACGACGAGGCGGCCGTCGGAGCAGCGGCCGGTGGGGCGGTGGAAGTAGGTCATGCCGTAGGGATAGCGGCCGACGATGTGGTTGGAGAGCGGACTGGACACGAGCAGGTTGCCGGTGTCGGTGAGCGAGTCGCCGAAGCTGAACATGGAGGTGTAGTTCTGCCCGCCGCCGCCGCCGCATTGCGCGAGGGGGCAGCAGCAGCAGAGCAAGACGGCGGCGAGCGCGGGGAGCACCTTGGAGTGGTCCGCCATGGGAATGCGATCGTTCGCGAGCGGAGCACTGGTGGTGGTACAAGTACAACGCACCGCCGGCAGGCCGCAGCCAGAGGCAGGCGCAGCGGAGCGAGTGGTGGCAAGGCAGTAGCGTCCGTCAGTCACTGATTGATAGGTAGGCTGAGGGACGGACAGGGAGTGGTGGCGGTTCCGCGTTGCGAGCTGCGACGACCCGATGGGGAGACGGGCGATGGGGCTCAGTAATGGCGGATTGCCTGAGATTGTAGGTGGGGGATAAATGCCATGCCGGCCGAGGGCAAATCTGAGCGATGAGTGAGGTGGGTGGTGGAGGGGGCAGCAGCTCGAGCTCGGCTACTCCAGTACATCCACAGTAATAGTGCCGGGTCCTCCTGCCGCCTGCCAAGCCAAAAACCCTCCTCCGTCCTCAGCTCAGCTGTATGGATGGGTGACGTGCTGATGTGTGGAGGTGTATCTCACTAAGGATGAAAACGATCGAACTCGGTCGAAAAACTCCTCAACCGTTTTCTATTTTTACATTTGAAATACGAAAGCGAAAACGAAAGCGAAAGCGGACAAGCCAGACACGAAAACGAACACGAACTTACGGAATATCTAGAATTTCAGAAACGAACCAATTCGAGCGGAATTATGTCGAACACGGTCGGTATGCGAAAATTCAATACGAAATACCGACCCACGGTGCATAGCATTAAACAAGTGCACGACCAAATACATAACAAGTTCACAACTAACAAGAGCATAATCTAGTTCAAGTGCATAGCATTAAACAAGTGCACGACCAAATACATAATAAGAGAAATGAGACTGGGCGCCGTCTATAAGAGAGGGCAGCTAGCCACTAGTAGAAAGAACACAGCTGCGTGGTGAGCAGCCTGTAATTGGGCTGTATGACCTGTGCAGTTAGCCATTCGGTTTAAACCGAATTTTGAATTCGGAATATTTCAAATTAAAAGTAGAAAAGTAGAAAACGGTCGAAAAATGTGTAAACCGTTTTCTACTTTTACATTTAAAATACAAAACATCTCAAATGCGAAAAACGAAAACGGTAAAATCAGATAAGAAAATGCGGATTCGATCGGATTAAATATAGAAAACGATTTGGTTCGGTTCGAGATATTTCCGTTCCGTTTTCATCCTTAATCTCCACAGCTCCAGCTCCGGGGCCTGACGCTCCCAAGGGCCAAAGCTCAATTATTCCGGCGGCCCCGACCCCCGACCACAGCGATCAACGCGGTGCTCACTGCTCAGGCAGGCGCGCACAACGTGACAGATTGTTACGATAATACACTGTCACTGAGAGTCGTAATGGCTAATGCAACTCTCCCCATAGTCCAGATCAAAGCAGCAGTCAGTAGCAACAGATCCGCTGCTCCATTTTATGCTGCTGCTAGTCCTATCCTAATCATCTCATTTACGTAGTTACTAGGTACTACTACTCCTACTCGTACACATTACTGCTCATTTATGGGCATTCAGTGCTCGTAAATGACGGTTTGGTACGGTGCGCGCTGCGCTCCCAAGAACCAAAATCATTCCTGCATCGTGCAACGCTGTGTAGGTCACGGCCAGCACTAGTAGTTCAGTTTCAGTTCAGCCCTCCCCTCCAGCGGAAGTGCACCTGCAGCCTGCATCGCCCGAACTGTCAACTGGGCTCAAATGCTACTGTAACACTAGCTAATGCCATGCTTCGCGAGGATCTCACTGGCATCACGAGATAAGTAGTACGTATATCGTACGTAATCACTAGTATATTATAATAACCTCAGTTAGTAAATAATCAAGGGTATTAACCTGGGTGTGCGGTACTGTACTGCCCAGCAAAGAATAAAGATTAGCGACAAAGCTCTCTCTGGTCGACAGCCGGGCCCCGGGCGATGTGGAGGATGCGCCAGCTTTCGAATATCTTATTTCTGGGCTGGGCCCTTTTCCCCACGCTAGTAGGGCCCAGCCACTTCTGGGGACTGGGGACTGGGGGATGCGCTGCATGGACGACAAGTTCAGTCACAGTCAGCAGCTTGCAGGGGGCCCGAGCCCGATTGGCGATTGCCATGCAGATGTAGTACTGCAGGAGACAAAAGGCGAGCAGCGCTGCAGACACAAGATAGAAAGACTATTCTTTATTTCTTTAAATATTGATAATTACAACATAGAGCTCACATATATATATATATATATATAATTCCGTTAAGATTTAAAAATTTGGTAAGAGCCCACGTACGAAATAGACTATGATTATAATTTCTCCTTCTTCTTTCCTTCTAGGCCCTTGTTTAGTTCTCCCAAACTTCTAACTTTGGCACTATACAAAAAGAATATTTTCCGTCACATCAAACTTGCGGTACATGCATGGAGTACTAAATGTAGACGAAATCAAAAACTAATTGCACAGTTTGCTTTAACTTTGCGAGACGGGTCTTTTGAGCCTAATTAGTCAATGTTTGGACAATAATTCACAAATACAGACAAAATGCTACAGTGGTGAATCTTTTACTGTACAAAGTTTGCACCTCCAAAGTTGACCGAACTAAACGCGCCCTAGGATAGAGTCCATATGTTTTACAACACTCCCCCTTAGGCGATTACCACGATATGCACATGACTCATTAAAAACTCAATCCGAAAACCCAGTGAGAAAATTAGTTCTCGGAGAAAAAAGTACATCGCATTCGTTAATTGCATTGCACATGTTGTCTCATTAAAAATCTTATGTAAGAAATCTTCAAGTAAAAATTTACATAGGGAAAAAGAGTACAACATTTAACCTTCTTGTCATGTATTCTTCAGGATATTCTATTCTTCATGAATAGATATTTATATTTATGATCTATGCATAAACTTCAATGTTTTAGCAAATATGGGCCATGTTCGCTTGAACTTATCAGTCGTACCGTTTCAGCGAAACAATAGTGTTTTTCTCTCATAATAAATCAGCATTAGCATCAGCATCAGCCGTTTTTCCAGCCAGCCGAACAGGGCCATGATCTACTTGATCTTTGTAATTCTAGTGGTTTTAATTACTTTCAAGGTAGATTTACTCAAATTGCTCCCTCTCATAAAGTCATCCTTTAAACTTCGTTGTTCAAACCACAGCTTTTATAAATGTGTGCTTAATAATGATATGCAGTACCATAATACTATATCTTTCAAAATGTTGGCTTATCATTCTTCAATAAATTATAATATGAGTAAACAAGAGCAATATGCTTCATGCATAGATAACCACTTATTAGTTGTGCAAAATAAATAAAATTTATCCTTCAGGATAATAAATCATTTCAGAGGATTGTGGGGGTAAATAAGTTACATTCAATATCTTCTAGATAGTGTATCAAACTTATACTAGAGTTTGAATACTTATAATTCTTTATTAGTGAATTTTTCAATTATATATTCTACAAATCTTCAGGATTTTGATTGTACCACTAAATAATAAATCCAATCTTGCATTTGGCATTTAGGAGACAATTCAATTGCGAAAGTCACCATTATTCTTATACCTTCTATGGTATTTTAGAGGATATCAACAATTCGTTGCTAGCTTTACAATATACACTTTCTGAGTGTTTGTATGACACCTTCATGGTATTTAGTATTTCTCATTTTCTTTCTCTCGGGTCTACATCAACTTTAGGGATTAATGGTGTTTTTTTCAAGAATTGACTGGTAAATCCTTCATGGATTAAATCCTTCAAGGATGTTTTCATTCTTAGTGAATAATATTTCTCTTCTATGAGATATATTCTCTACTATATGAGAGATTATTATGTGATATACACAATATGATAGTGCTATTCACTTACAAAGTCACTCGATGACTCTTCCTTCTAGGACATGCTCTTCTTGAGACTTTAATACTCATTCAGGAATATATTATACCTTAGACTTCGTAATACTTGGTATGAGATTTAATTTCCATATGTTGCGATTTATATTCTTCAGAAACTATATGGATCTTCGTAATCCACTTATTAACTGTATATTTCATATTGAGTTAAATGCACCATAGGTACATTAACTTTAGGTGGTGTGTCATACAGGTCCATCAACTTTTAAACTGTATTTTTGGGTTCATTAACTTTTGGTGGTGTGTCATCCAGGTCCATCAACTTTCAAACTGTATTTTTGGGCCCATTAACTTTTGATGTTGTGTCATCTAGGTCCATCAACTTTTAAATTGCATTTTTTGGTCTCTAAACTTTTTAACTGGTTGACCGTAGGTCCATACCCCTTCGTTTAGCAAATAGATCTGATATGGCACGCAAAAAAAGCAGCCACCGTGGAGTACAGGATGAGATCATCATTCGGAGATAATCTTCAATACGAAGAACCTGATGGGATCACCATCTATGATTTCTCGAGCGGCGGCTCGACAGGGAATAAACTCCACAATAAAATTTAGTCTAATCTACCCGTACAAGGCCGAAGGCCATAGGTATAGACACGCAGGCCACCTGACCTAAACAAAACTCAGATTCCACCAACCGAACTAGGACTGAGTCCCTGATTTGGCTAACATGCATGGCACGTCCAAACGCAACCACCAATTTGATTCACGTACACAGGTGCACGCAGGCACTAAAAACTAGATCCTAGATAAAAAATCGTGTATCACAACTAGATAGGAAACTAATGCATGAAAATAATAAAATACTACGGCAAGGATGCTAATCATGTTGGGAAAATTCCATTGATGATCTCCACCTCTTTAGAATTATAACTGATGTATTTTGTTGGCTTCATTTTCTCCTCCTTTCCACGCAATAATAAGGCACCTCTATAAAATATCTTTGATGATAGTTCAGCAGTTGTAAATTTCTCCATGTCCATAATATATTTATCCTTAAAAATAATAGTCCTAAATTTAAGAACAGAGGATATTAACGAATTACCAGCTGCTACATTTGAATTATTGCTAGACAAGTCTCCATGAATATCTTGAGGAGCTATGGACTCATCACCTACTCCACAGTGGCTGCTTATTTGACGTGTCATGTTAG